TGAAAGCTTGTCATATCCATGTGAATCTCTTGTCCCAGTCATTACGATTTCTTAAAATTCACAACACGAGTTTTGGTTTTGATCCCCGCACTCGTATTTCTGCCCCAAATCTCATTGGCTTCAGACTAGCTCCATTTTACGGTTTGGCTCCTTTGCTTGATAGCATGCCATCACTGGTAGCAGCATCTATTACACTTGGAGAAATGTGCGAGGAAATGTGTTACTGTGGAAATCTATCATGTGGGGGATGCGATGCTCAAGCCGGTAACAACGACTATCATGTGGCTCTCCAAGGTTTGTCAGGTGCTACGAATTTGAAGTTGACAACAATATCTTATCCGATAAGGGTATGCTCCCACTTTTGCTAACTCCTATTGTTCTTTGCCATCCACTAGATCCCATGTAAGTTTGTATCCAGTTATCTATCAATAGAAGCTTATGGAACAAGCGTCTTGTGTGTGTTACATGTTTTCACTAATTCACATGCTTGAATCTTGATGTTTCTTGAGCATGTTTGCATGCACACCGCTACTTGATACTTTAGGCATATTTAATATTCAAACATGTAGGATTGAGATTAAAATACAGCTTGGATTATCAATCTTGGTGTCTGGTAACACTTAATTACTATGAAAAATAAGAACCACCAGAAAGTTTTCAAAGCATGTACTTATGTATCTCAAAAAGCATTGTGTACTTCTGAAGTTATATCTTGAATTTGTGTTTAACCCTCTTCATTTTATCCAGCTGTCTGTTTTGAGAATGGATTTGACATGGCGCCCCATGTTTAGGAAGCTAAAAAAGTTGTTGCTCAATGAGTGGTGTGTGGCTGATGATTTCACTGGATTGATTTACTTTCTCCAGCACTCACCCATTCTAGAGACACTGATACTTCAGCTTGATTTGCAAACTTTTGAGGTATACATATTCTCCAAGTATGATAGCTTTTATCTTTGAAATTACCATTTACCTTTTGTTGCAAAATATATTGTTTGTTACAGGATTATCATTTGAACGAAATTGAAGGAAGTTGTAACTCAAGGGAACAATCATTGCTATCACAACATCTCAAGGTAGTCAAAATTATATGTGGCACGCAGGAAGATGTGATAGTTCACCGTATTTCAAAGATCCTATGTGCCCATGGAGTACCTTCTGAGCAAATTGAGATAGAATAGACCTTCTGTTTGATTGTAAGTAACCATTAGCATTTTTCACGATTATTAGCTTTCAGTAGTCAACCCAGAGTTGTATGTTATATCCCCGTGCACCACTTTAACATCCTTCTAGCCCACCATGACACCGTACCATACTTGGCAACCACAATGTTGCCCCTTATATGACGCCACTGAATATTGATGCTGCTTGTCATGACCATAGGTGCTTGGTAGCATGCCCATGGTGGCAACACGCAGGAGCAGGGAGCTTAGCAGTTAACAATGCAATAGAAATTATTAAGTTCCTGAACTGCATGCTTGACTAGCTAAGCTAGGTAGCCTGTTCTAATGTAGGCAGTACTGAAGGTAGAAAATCGTAAGTGTACATTATTTCTTTCCTTGTAATGGGACAGTTTGACAAGCTGCTCTATGGTTGTCTCGTGTAAGTGGTACCCAAAAATGCTGCCTACAAAACATAAGTTAAAACCTGTGCTCAGTTTCATGTAAATAGCATATCCGTCGAGCATTTTGATCGCTAGATCAACCAACTGAATTTCTCACAAATTATCCCTGCATGTATTCCAGTCTGAGAGTTTCATGTGCTCATTGTGTCCCTTGCTGTTTATGCAGGGTTCCATTTCTATTGGGTGGCGTTGTTTGGCTGGTCTACTTCGCCCTCCGTTCTTCGGTTTTCATGGATCTAGCTCCATCAAGTTGCTGCTTTTCGTCTACTAGCTAAGTGTCTCATTCCTATGAACTCGCTCATATGTAATTTGCTGGGTACTTTTTGCTCGGGTGCAGTAAGAACATGTTGAAGTGTCGCCGTAGTCCTAGTGCACTTCTGCTCATTTGCTGAACCGAGCGTGAGGCCTGAACCTATTTTCCTGCTGAAGGCCTATGTTTTGGTAAGATGTTTCAGGGACCTGTCTAGGGTTGTTTCAGGATTGTGCTAATTAATGTGTACGGTGTGATTGTCTGGCTTCTTTCTGAACTTACCGTGTTGGTTCAGTGTGTTCGTGCACGACAAGTTACACAAACTCTGCAACACACATAAATTGAACCGCAACATATAGACAGAGGATAGAAAAAACACATGAGTTTTGTAAACTCAGTTCCCGAAATGTTTGAAACTCTCAAGACGCAGAGCATCGGCGGCCGTAGAAGGTGAAGCGCGTAGTGTGTGGGGGAGGGACTGAAGAAGCATCGCTCTCATCATCCGTCGGCAAGCTGCTTGTGGAATGGAGTAAATTGTAATAACAACCATAATTGTGAACCCTAAATAAACATAGCACGACAATTTTTTTGGCAAAAGAAAAATCCGGTTTTCTGTTGACAATTTGCCGAAAGCACTGATCGGTCGATTAGCAGCACCTGACACTAAATCTGATGGGTGGCTCCCTCCATAAGTGATGATGTGGCATGAAAAAACTCACACCGTTTGACTCAATTTTTAATGTTTTTTTAGAAAGTTTGACTCAAATGTTAGGCTGGCTTAGGGC